ATATGGTGATTGATTCCTTGTGTAATTTGTGTTGTTCGGAAGTGGTTTTCCTGAACTGTTATTACTAAATATATTTTTGTTTGGTAGATTTTGTATTTAGTTTTTTATGCTTTTGAGGTTTATTCTGATTGTCTTGTTGTTTTTGTCTACATTCGGAAATACTGTGTCCGTATCGTCGGCAATAATTACACCATTTTTGGAAGATGGTTTACCTTTAAAGTTTGGATGTTTTTCGTAGATATTTAGTATTTCGGTGATTTTTTCAATCAGGTCTGTGTCTGATTCTTGTATGTTATTTATATGTGTAGTGTTTGTTTCAATTCGATTAACATATTGTAGTTTTAGATTTTCTGTTTCATTGAGTTTCATTGTGATTTCTGCTTGTTCTAGTTTATCTACTAATTTTCGAAAATCTAAGTCTGGTTCTCGAATTGAAGAAGGATGAGATGCTCTCTTTTTTATCGCTATTTTCCTTAATTGAGGTGTTAAGGTCATCATTAAAGTGTCTGTCTTTTTTGTGTTTTTATAGTCATGGGTATTAAGTGAGTATGCTTTTCGAACTAGTGTTTCTATACGTACTGCTAATTAATTAATTGTTTCATTTGGTAATCTGCGAATTTCATTACATAAAACTCTTTGGTGTTGTTTGTTTCTTTCAGAGTCAAACATTTTTGAAAATTCTTGTGTGAATCTTTTCCAGTCTGATTTTATTTCTATGGGTAATACTGAAAATCATTTTTGAGCTGCGCCATCTAGGGTTGTTTGTATTAATGCTGTACGTCTATGTATCCAATTTTGATGTAGTGGCGTATTAATTGGTTCGGGTCCTATATTTAAAATTAAATTTGCTGTTACTGCATTCAGATAATCTTCTACAGAATATTCAGGGTCTGTTCCTGTGAATACCATCAGTGGTTTATTGGATGTTATTGATGATCCACCCATGAGGTATGGATTCATTGTCATCTGTAGTGATTCTGCTGCATTTGGCATTTGTGAAAAATTTGAAAGTTGATTTTTTGTTATTTCGTGTTGCTGAAGGTAATATGGAAGCGTTATTTCATTTTGCATTTGAGTTGGTTGATAAGAATGCATTAACATTGGTTTTTGTGGTTGTATTGGTTGAAAAGATTGTGTATTAAATGTGTTTGGTATAAGCATTTGTCGTGGGTTTTGTATATCTGTTGGGTTTTGTGGGTAAGTTTTCATATTTTGAGATGGTTGAGATTGTCGCGGTCGTGTGCGATATTCTTTAGTAAATGGTGCAAAAATATCTGGTTGGTTATAATCATCTTCATCAGATGATAAATAGTTTGTATTATATGGTGTATGTTTTCTTTTTATTTTGTTGAAAGAATGCCTAATTTTCACTATAATCCTGTGTAGGTTGTGGATTATCTGGAAAATTTACTGAATTGGTCGATGTTTTTGGGACATTCCAATAATGGGAACATACGTGATTTAATTTTTGTGTGTTTTTTCGGGGAGGTTGGTTTGTGCTTGGTTTGTGAGCATAATTATAATTGATTTCTGCAAAGGTATTTCTTGTGAATGGTTTTCGTGTTTTTGACGGTATTGTCATTGGTCTATACGTTTGACAGTCCATCTGTGAATATTTTGGAGCAACCGATAGTTTAACGGTTGATTGTAAGGTTACTTGTGTTAGTGATGTATTTGTATTTCTTGGTATTGTCAGATTGCGGTGTATAGGTGAAATATTTTGTTGTGTAGTTGTTGTTGTTGTTTGGACGATTTCTTCATTTATGAAGTGTGATGGTGTTTGAATATCTTGCTGTGTAAGATTTCTGGTTCCATTAAGGTGTTCATTATGTATGATGGTCGAATTTAAACTGTTATATTTGTATCAGGTAAAAATGTATTATAATTCAATGGTGTTGCATCAATGGTTAATGGTATTACTTTTACATAATCTCTGTGATAAGATATTGTACTTATTGCATGACTTGAGATAGCTTGTGGGATATTTAGAAATGCATGATGAGACCATTCAGGATCCCAAACGTAGTCTGATTGTTCTGAAAGAACAGTGTCGTCATTTGTATTTTGAGGTCTAAAATTTTTTCTTGCTTGTGAAATTAAATCTAAATTGTGTCTGAATCTATTATAAATAATGCTAAAATCTTTTGTAAATCATGTTTAGTGTGTTGTGAAACATCTTCTTTACTGAAATTTTTGCGAATTATTTGGAGAAATGTTGAAAATACTGTGATTTCTTTTCGTACTTTCGTATGTCTAGATGTTTCAGTTGGTGATATATTTTGAACTTCTGTTTTTTCTAATATAGATATATAACTGTATATTATTGCAAAAACTTCGTTAGTGAATATGGAGTTTGCTCTTTGTGATTTATGATATTGTATGCTTTTGATATATTCTATGAATACTTTTAAAAATTCTAATTCAATATCGTCTGTTTGAATTTTATATTTACGATGGGCTGTATTTGGTGTGCTGAATTCTATGGTGTAGATTCCATATTGTTGTGTTAGATTACATATGTCTTTCAAATAATGTTCAATAATTTGTCTTTTGATTTTACATCTGGGAATTCTTGTTTGCATGGGCTGATTACTGGTTCAAACAAATTTACGAGTGAGTTCTTGCAAAAATCGTGTTGTCCTCTATCATCGAGTGAATCTATAAGAAAGGGAAAAACTGCTTCGTCATCTGGACTATCGTTACTTTGAGTGTGGCTCAATTTTTCTTTTGATGACTGTTAATATATAACTATCGATGTGTCTAATTGGTTGATTCCAATTATACAAGTGTACTGGTTTGTATTTGTATTGCTTTTTTATTCTTCTTTTTCCTCTTTTTGATGAATTTGAAGTTGTTTCTGAGTCGGAAAAATATAAATGATCATGATGGGACAATTTTTTATCTATTGATACTTTTAATTTGTATAGTTCGTCTAAACTACTGACTTCTGATTCAGAAAATGCGTTTCTATTTTTTGAAAATCTTTTTCGTGTGATTTGTCTTTGTTTGTTTATAATTTCCCTTTTTATTGTTTGTCGTTTTGTTCTAATGTATCCAACTGTTTGTGTATGAGGTGTGATTACAAGATCGTATTTTTTGTTATCTATTTCACAATTGTGTAAAACGATTGTTTGTTTATTTCCTAAATTTGTGAATGACATAAGGTTTAGTTTGAGGGATGCAAGAAGTTGTTAGTTATTTCTATTTCCTTAGACTGTTAGTCCTTACAATTTTTTGGTTCTCTTAACCTGGGTCTTTTTGTTCAGGGTTGGAGAGAAAAGTATATCGATTCCGAAGAATGATTTTTTACTTTCTCGTGGCTAGTCTAAGCTAAGGTGTTAACTTACTTAATCTTACCTAGGGGTAGTGATTGTGTTCAAGGGTTGGAGAATAGTAAATCGATCCACAAAGTTCAGGTATAATTAGAACGCAAGTAGTTCGTTAGATACTGTTTTAAACTTACTAAGTCTTAGATCTATCCTGGGTCTGGTAAGAGGAGGGTTCAAGTGAAGGATGAATAACCGAAGTTCTTCACTGTTTATCTTAATTTGAATGGTTAGTTTTATTGAAAAATTTCTATTATTCCTGGGTCTTTTGAAAAGGTTGGATAGTGAATCGACGTTTGAGGTCGTTAGAAACTTGCTAAGTGGGTGGGGGAGAACAAAATTGTTCTTTTTGATCCAAGGATAAGCCTTGATGATCTCATTTTTAAAATTAAGTAAATCTAAGTTTAAAATGGTTTAAATTTATTTAATGAAAAGATTTAGTTTTTCAATGATATTAGTGAGCTTATGATTGCTGTTATGTTTAGGTGATGAAGCTGGAACAACAGGATGATTTATGATTACTAACAATTTATTGTCATGTTAGTAATTTTTATTTTTATTTTCACTAAATATTTTTCAAATATGTTTTATATAATACTGCAGAAATTAAGAAAACGATCTGAGATCTTTTTATCAATCGTTATTGTACATTAATAATTTTGTTTAGCGCCTGAAATGATGATGAAGATTTACTTAAAAATTTTTCGTTTGCAAATGAAATTCTAAATTCATTGCTAATAAGATTCTAAATATAAAAGTTTGTGTTGGCTTTTGCCGTACAACCATAAAACTAAATGGTAAGTTTCTACTTAGTCGTATGTCGTCTTTTGTCCGAGGTCTTCTTCCAATACCGGGTAGTTCTAGTATCGTGCGGAATATCGGCTCTGATCTATTGAGTCGTAGAGACATTTCAATTAAATTATTATCGTGTAACATTTTGAAAATGTTTTGTCTAAATTATAATCTATATTTGGTTAGTTCTAAGCTATTAAGGTCTTATTCGAGACTTATGGTTGCATTAGATGAGTTTTAACCGAAGTGGTTAGCTCATAGAGTAATTTCGGATAGGGTACACCGTCTGCTCGTCACGCTATCTTATTTTCGGCCGGATAGATTCGTGCAACTTCTTAGTCTAATACCGATCCTAATCTTACTCTTATACTTACTAGTCTCAGGGTGTTTAACTAGTCTCTGCTAGGCTCAATAGATCTAGAGTATACTGGTTTATTGCGGCACATGAAGTTCTCTTGGAGAGGCAACTAATCTCTAAGTTAAATTCAAATCTCTCTGGAGCTGAAATTACAAGTAATTTCAGCACTTACAAATAAGTAGGTTGTTAGTTAGATGGATTATGATTGGTTAATATTAAATATTTTACAGTGGTAAAATATCCAATTTATCCAATTATAAAATGTAGTTTAGATCAGGTTCCAGTATCTTTGATTACCAAATCAGGAAGGGGAACCGTGTTATCGAACCCAGAGAGTGCTTAAACGGGAAATGATAGGCTTCAAAAACTATGAACTACTACTTACCAATCTAAGTAGAAGTACGTTTTAGGGGAAAATTAATTCTGATGATCTCAAGTTAGATTAGTTTAATTGAACAAGGACATAAAGCACTAACATAATCACGGAATCACATAAATCGAAAAATTAATCGAACAGTCACAGAAATAAAGCAGCGGTTGGAAAATATATTTTATTTCAAATCGCATAAGATAGCAAGGACAACTGGGTAAGTAGCACATCATGTTTTAACCACAGAATTAGCACAGAACGTTTGCAATGTTTTAAGTACAGCAACTTTAAAATAAATTATCATTATCATATAAAAGTTCTAATAAAGTCAAAACATCAAATCAATCATAGTTAATTTTATCGATGTCTTCATTAGTCAAAATTTGAAGAATAATGCACCACTTTTTCTCCCCTTTCTGGCCACAACACTTTTCTCTAAATTGCCGTCTATATTCTGAGTCCTCGTGCGAATGCTTTACGCATTGGCTTCATCAGCAGCATGACAGGACCTCTGATTATAATCCCAGTGGATCCGAGAAGCTGTCCAATTCCCAGAAACAGTACCCCTTGTGCCCGATTGTGGGGGTCTCGGAGGAGGAAAGTGAGGAACATCAAGAGGTACTGCAGGATCCCGAAGATGGCAAACACAGTTGAGGTCACTGTCAGTGCGAGCGTAATCTGGAAAGTAACAAGTTGAATAATTTCAAAACCTCATATTTTGAATCTCGTATGAAATGAATCCAATTATTTGCTATTTATTGTGAGAAAATAAAGAATGCTTATTTCTGTATTCGTTTTCAAAATGTTTAGCAAGAAAAATTTAATTTTGAAAAGATCAAGTCGGATATGTTATCAAGTAGGAATATCGTTAAATTTTTTGGATGAACTTTTGTTTAACAAAAGTATTTGAATCAGTTATGATGGCGTGCTCAATTTCTTGACAATAACCCTTGCGATGAGCATGGTTATTACAATCGGTTACTAGACTTTTTTTCCGTAAATACTTATGTTTACAAGACTCATCTGGACTCCTGATAGTACCTTGGGTCATAATGAATTCAAGCTTCCTAGAATTTCCTGCACACTTAGCCTAGAGGTAAAGACTACGCCTGGGTCGGCAAAGGTGGTGGGCTCGAATCTGACCAGGACCTGTTTTTTTCTAACGGAAACGTTCTGCTTCGAATGAAATTGTCGGCCTAATGTTTGTCTTCTTATTTTTTGTCGGCTTAGTTGCCACATCTAAGACTCGTATATTTTTGCTGTAAACAGTTTTCATTGTAGTTGCTTTCATTTTCTTAGCATATTAAAAATCCGGTTGAATCGAAATTTGATTTGTACATTGGTTGTAATTTCACAAACTCGATTTAATAATTTTTTAAATATAGTTTCGTCTTTTTTTTCGGCTGAATTGGTTTCGGTTTTTTATATCGTCTTATTGGCCTTGTCTTGCGTAGTTTAGGTACTGAAAAAAAAATTGTGCGCGAGTTTGTGTTCTGAGGGAAAAAGGGACCTAATTTTTTTTATTAGTTTGAATTTTTTTTGAAGGGTTTCTGCTCAGGTATTTTCGGCTTCGGTACTGCTTGTCAAAAAAAAATTCAAATTTAAGAAACCATCTGGCACATATGGCGTAGAGGTAATTTAACATCTCACGACGGCAAAGGCTTGGGGTTCTAATTCGGCCGGAACTTGTCTTTGTATTGTTAAGAGACTTTGTGCTTTCTCTGACTATCGTCCGCCTGTTTTTTTTTCGTCGGCTTAGTTCCCTTAGCCCGATTTTTTGGAAGGTTCAGCTTCCTTCCAAGTTGTTGCAAAACCTATGTTTGAGACCGCAAGGCTCAGCAGTTCGATTCCAGCCGAGACCTGTTTTTTTTGCAAACTGAAATTTTTCTAACTTAGATTATTGTCTGTCTGCTTTTGTTTATCATTAATTCAGCTGAAAACATTTTTTAAATATTGGTTTTCTAAATTTCGGAAAGCTTTTTGTATAATTTTTAAAAGTACAGTAAATTTTTTGGAATTTTTGGGATTTTGTTGCAATTTTTATTGACAAAATCAACTTTTTGAAGTTTTTTTTTCAATTTTTTTATCCGTTTGATTGTACTCATAGTCATTGAATTTGCATCGCAAGTGGCGCAGACATCAGCTTCGCCCCTGTGTTTAAGTTTAATTATGGGCTTCTAAACCTACTGGAATCTAACATCTAACCATTGTATTAATAATCATTAGTCTTGCCATTAGCAAGCGTTATCAAATCGGAATACAGGCTTTTTTCGGGTTAGCTGCTAGTTTAACAAAACTTTTTAATCATTTGTGCAGCATTCAATTCTGCAGCAGAAATGCTCAATTTTCTCGATGAATGAAAATTAGATGTTCGTAAACGTGGTATTGAAAATTCAGCGCCAAATGCGGGGAAGGAAGAACAACGGGCTGGATATCCTTTTTAAGATCCTCTGCGATTAGCAGAAACCAAAATTGTTTGATTGTTTTCAAGTTGAACTTAAAAATTTTCCAATATTAATTCAAAACCGTTGGTCTTCTAATAAACGAAAAAATATCTATTTATCAAAAATGCACATAAACTGTCAAAACAAAACGTCGAAAAAGAAAAGTACGTAAATGTCACGAGTTACTTTTTTCTTCTGCTTTTGAGATGAATACAACCAATAAACTTTAAGCGCAACCCAAGTAAAAATTCGCTGGTTTTCTTTCTAAGTTAGATTTTTTTTTGATGTATCTCTAAAACTCACCATTGAACCGCCTACTTAGAATTCGTTCTTATGAAGAATCGATGAACTTGCTTCATACTCTTATATAGGTTACGATGATTTTTTTTCGTGTTTTCATTTGTTGAATGAATGAAGCAAATTCCACTATCAAACACAAAAATGTAAAAGTCACAAAAAACATAATCAAGTTCTAGCTTTGAAAGTGGAACTTGATTTCAGATTTTCCAGCAAAAAAAAGTTCCTATCGATCCAGTTTTTTTCAAACTCAGTTAATTTCAGCAAAAAATGTCAATCATTAAGTAAGCTTGAAACTCAAAGACTTTTAAGGGCATTTATTTTAAAATTCGAAAAGTGAGATTTTGTCCAAAAAAAGTCGGTATTATTTTCTGTTTTTTTTGCCTTCAATGACGCTTTTCCAATTGTATGTCGGCTATGCTTTTTGGCGGTGTTAGATTTTCTAATGGTTTGTTTTGGCGAACACTTTTTTGAAGTTTTATGGAAAACTTCATTTCAATTCTTACGACTTTTTTTGAATTTTTTTTTTCACTAAATTAATTTTGCTGGAAATGTTTCTCAATAATTATTGATCAGCATTTGTTATTTTCCTGTATTAATGCAGGTATTTGAACTCTAAGGCTTTTTTCTGATAAATTTTGATATTTAAAGCTTGCTATTAGCAAGCATGATCAAATCGTAACTTAAGTTTGGCTCATAGTAACTTCGAAATTCCTAAGTTCTCTGGCACACTTGGTCTAGAGGTGACTACTTCGGTTGGGAGGGCAAAAGTTCTAGGTTGGAATCTGACCAAGACCTGTTTTTTAACCCCTTTTAACGCCATTTTTTGTTTTGACTTCTGTTTAAAAAATTGTTGGCCTATTGTTTGTACGCTTATGTTGTGTTGGCTTAGTTGCCACGTCACGGATTTTTTGTGCTACAAACATTTTTTACTCTTTTTAAAATCGTTTTCTTTCTGTTAGATTTAAATTGCATTACGAGGCCAAACTGTGTACTGGATAGGCGCACAATTTTGTGTCTGTATGTTCCTGGATTCCAGAGACAAGTCTTTGAACGTGTTATATTTTTGTCGCAACGATCAAAGAAAAGGAAAGAAAAAAAAGAAGAACAAAAGGTGCGTCCTTGTAACGGGATCCGCTTGCATTTCACAAACTGCGCAGTTTGGCCTCGTAAGGTGCAAAATCTGATTTTTATATCGTTTTTTCGCTTTAAAAAGTACTAGGCCTGAAATGTTTTGACTTAAGTTTTATCGGTTTAGTCATCTAATTTTACTTCGTATTTAAGAAAAAAGATTTTAATCCTTTTGTGTGTTTTTGTAGGGTGCATTAGAATTATAAATTCAAAACTTTCAAAAGTTTTTTATGACAACATTGTTGCAAATTTACCTTTGTCGGCCAAATACCGCTCAATAAATTTTGAATATTATGTAGTTGTGGTAATTTCAAATTTTTTTCCGACTCAGTGGCTTTTCTTTCTTTTTACTGTATCCCTTCTCTTTCAACCTGTATACTAGTTTGCGATGCTATATTTAAAAGGTATTGCAAGTGGTGTGAAGCTCCGCTTCGCCTTAGGGTAAACATTTGCAAATCTGAATTATTTAGTCTTACGCAACTTTGACTGTTATGTAACTGACCGGTCGTTGTGATTGTGCGTCATGTGATGAATTGACGCTACTCTGACTCTTCTGTCGGATCAACACGAGCAGAAGCACAGTGCATGCCACTACACATGCGACAGCTGGAACCCCCATCAGACTTAGGAACTGGTCGTACTGCTCATGTAGCGTCACACAGTCGCCCCCAACCAGGTCCGATCCTGGAAATAATTTTTGCATCTGGACAAATCGCAGCAAAAAAATTGGCTCAGATATTTTGATTGCCTCTCTGGGACAATTTTTCGCAGAAGAAATTGCTCGCACAAAGCTTAAGTAATGAAAAATTTTCGCTTTAATTGAGCAGGTATTTCTAGATGTCATTCATAAGGACGACGCTTACCCATGGATTTTGGGATGGCCAGGATGAAAATGACCAGACATACTGGCCCTACAACGAGCCAGGCAGCTTTCTGGGTGCAGCTCTGCTTGTACCAAACAGGGTAGCGGACTGCGTTGATGCGGTCCAATGCCACCGGAACAGCCAGGTAGTCGGCCAGGAGGAAAAATGATCCCCCGAGGAAAATGAGGGTCTTGCATGATGTACGCGAGATACGCTGTAGACAGAAAACGCCTCCTGTGAACACATATGACAAGACTGAGATATCTTTTGTTACAATTATCCACGAGAAAAGAATTCATCAACCACATATTCCCAGTTTAGTTGAAGCACCGAGAAACGAACACTCTTATTCGATAGCAAGCCGTAATACGCAACATCAACCGAAAAATAGGCCCAAAAACGTGTTTTTAGACAATTTTTTGAAAGTTTGGACCAAACAGTTGCGTTTTTTGGCATTCTCTCCCAATTCAAAATTGTATATAGTCACGCGAAAGGCGCCTTCAAAAAAAATGCGAGTCAGCTAAAAATGGAATTCGTAAAATAGTTTCAAAGATCAAAGACTTCGGTTGGCCACGAGGTCTAATTCCTGAGGTGGGCTTCTGGGCGAGACAACAATTTTGAGCTCAGAAAAGTATTTAAAAAATAAAAAATGCGTTTAGTTTTTCAGCAGGATTTCAGGTACAGTTCACGGCTAAGATCATAACAGACCGTATCTTGAATCTCTTGTGAATAAAGATATTTGCACCGTTTGTACAAATACTTATTTGAACGTATAAAAACAAAAAACGTACCAAAAGCACCGCAGAGAGAGAATTGAATCACCACCAGTTGCTGCAACATCTGACCAACTGCCTGTACCCACAGAAAAGTACGCGCACTGAAGTCCCCCACTAGGCCCCTGGAAATTAGGATTGCAATCAGCTGAGAAGCACAGCCCAGCCCTCCTAGCACAGCCACGAGTATCAGGGGGTTCCTTTCAAACACGGTGGGTCCACTGGTTGTTGAGACTTCGAAAGACTGGTCCATCGTGCCATTAATGGAGTTTTCGTTGTTTTTCACGTCTATAACTCTACTTTGGTCCATCGTTTTTGATTTTACAGCTGTGATTCACAGTTATTGAAGAACTAAATGTCAGAATTAAATGTCAATCAATACGGTAGTGCCTTACAAAGATGGCCCTTTGTTTGTTTTTAATATACGGGAATATTTAGTTTTGATTTTTGTGGTATGTTTTTAATATGCGACATAATTACAGTCAGGGGTATTGATAATACAGAGGGCCACTCTTCACGACAATTACGTAAATACCAATTAAATTAATGTTGCAATTAATTTTTTCAGGGGGCTTCTTTTCGACCCGAAGGGTCTCCATTTATTACTATTTGAAGACATCCGTTTTTGGTTGACGGGCCCAAAAATTTTTCGAAAAGCGCTTTAGGCAACATATAGTAATTTTGAAGTACAAGTTTTTAGATAACGTTTTCCAAAAAATTCCTAGAATCGCATTTTTGGCTCTTTTTTCCCAATAACTTGCTTACGGCGCCGAAATTTTGGTTAAAATTAGGCCTTTAAAATGGTCTGATTTAGCGCAGAAAATCAATTTGGTCGATCTAAGAAAACAATTTTTTTTACTATCCGCCCCTTCAAGAAAATCTTAGATCCGCCCCTGTTGTCATCCAAAACGCCAGAAACGCCATCGAAGCAAAATTTGTTCAAAAAAATTCAGGCGTTCACGGGCCGAAGTTGTGATTTTAACATTAGACAATCGCAAATGAGTTTTAGTATTTCCAGACTGTCGCAACCAAAATTGGTATCTCCTGACCGTGGCGATTGAAAATGGTTACTTCCAGACTTCACAGACTGAAGAGACATGTCCGGGAGTGTTGTGCGCGACGGCGCAATGAAAGATAAACTAACCGCACTGCGCGACAAAAAAAAACCTATCAAATCACTTGCAAAAAAAACCATAAAATTTCATTTTTTCATCAGTAATTTTCTCTGGTAATTACCTATATTAGTTAGAAATAATAATTTTTTCAAGGAATCAAGCACCTTAAATAAAAGTTTTTGATCAAAAGTAGAATGTTTCTAGCTTTCAATTTAATGGACCGAAATGTTACAATCCTGTTTGCAGGTGCTATTTGAGAGTATTTTGGGATAATCATATCTATTTTGTTGTTTTTTAGTCCCTTAAACTCTAAAAGTGCTCATAAACCGTTTTATGTTAAAAAGTAAAAAATCATTATGATTATCAAAACACAATTTCAGAAGAACGTGAAATATCTTTAAGACAACAAAACAGTTTCTCGATATCCAAAAGAAAATTCATCAAAATTTTATCAAAAATTTTGATCAGAGCTTACCTGAAAAATTAAGCTATTTATGTACAAAATTAAGCTATTTATGTACAAGGTTATTTATGCAAAACACGCGTGTGTTACGGTATATGTCCAGTATTTTCTAAAAAAAAACTGCTGGATATTGTATGAACTAAAACAACATTTTATACGCAATTGTAATCATTTTTTTGTTTTTTTTTTCTGTTTTTTGAGCAAGTGTTTTTTGCTTTCTTACGTTTTTTACTGTATCAGCTACAAGATTTTACTGTATTAGCTACAAGAAGTTATAACGCGGCATTTACGTTAAGAGTTGCAGCTGAGTTTTTGGAAAGTTCGCTTTTTTTTGGTACATTTTCGGCACTGAGATCAGTCAGCTTTATTAATGTCGGCTTATTTTCCTAATGTTAGCATTCTACTATTTTTGTTAATATTACAACAATTGAGCTCTAATGAGAAACTTTTGAACTTTAAACACAAAATTAAAAATGCAAAACGAAAAATTAAACAGAAAAAATTAAACATGAAAAACGGTAAACTTTCAGAATCAGTTTTTGGCTTTCTAGATCTTTTAATAAATTTGCTCGAAACCTTTGATTTTTTTTTGTTGCGCGACCTGCTGTATTCGAATACCAACATCGGTTTACTACCGTTTTAATGACTTAATTGTGAATAATTTTATTTGAAACATACATTTTGTGCTCACCTCTGGATCACTCAAAACGCTTTTTTTAAAATAAAAACTCTAGTTAAAGTTTTTCATGGCAAGAATTTTTTTTGCGGCTTTTTCGATCTTTTCTTTTTTTCTCAGCTGGATAGATTGCGGCCTATTTTATATCATTTTCAGCTTCAAATTACGTCTTCTGACGAGCAAAACAAAATTGTGTGAGTTTCTGTATCTTGAGGGCGATTGGGGCGTATTAACTGTTTGTTAGTCTTAAGGTTTTTTGATTTTTTTCAGCAGGTTTAATTTAAAAAAAATTTTTTGGGTCAATACTTGGGTCTATAATATGTAGCCTTGGTGGCCTCATTTTGTTTCATTTGATGAGCAAATAAAGTTTTACTTGAGGCTGAGAGAGACTTGTTAACTTTTCATATGTCTTAAGTCTTGTTGTTTTTTTCCGACTCAAAGGGTTTTGCCAATGTATTTTTTTGGTCTTTGTTACCGCTGGCTAAATTATCTTCCGGTGCTGATTTCACATTCTAACTGGTTTTTTTTCTTTTGGTAGGTCTAGTTTTTTCGACTTTATCGATTTTTTTTCCTTGTGTTGTATCGCAAGTGGTGCGAAGCTCAGCTTCGCCTCTATGTATGTGTTTTTGTTTTAAAAAACTATTTTGATTCATGCTTGTTTGTCTTAGAAATAATTTAATCAATGCTCTTAGATGAAACGTCATACTGGGCTACAACAAATAAGAAGAGACGGGTTTTTGACGAACAAATGAACGAACTTCTTCTCACGTTGTTTTCTCGCTTTCACTGCAATTAATGAAGATGCAGGTTTAAAAATTTGACATAGCTGCATTCAAAGATTATTGAAGAAACAGGGTTTAAAAATGACGAGTGCTGGATGCAACTATTTGAAAGGACTTGACCAGGCAAAATAGAGAGAAAACTTGTTTCGAATGCGTAAATTAGCCAATATACGTAACCAGTCTTAGAGATGTTCTTGCTGTGAAAATGTCGTCGCAGCCAGCTGAAGAGTTTCAATTTATATGCTTAAATTGGTTCTTTATGAAGCTGATAAGCTTGACTTACGCTGTTTCCGAAAAACTACAGACAAAATACTGATCGAGTCACTTCGTCCGCGTCAAAAACGGACTTAGATGTTTCAGCGCCACATTTATTAAAAATTATTGGGAGCTCATACTAAAAAACTGGACAAAAGTTTTCAGACAAAATAGTTGATAATGAGAATCCTGCGCACAGAGGGGAGTAGTAATTGTTCAGAAAAATTAGGTAGAATTGTTTTGCTTTGGCTTATTTCTATCCTCAGCGCGACATTATGCATAAATAATATAGCTTTTTTTTTAACACTGGACGGAGTCACTCCATCTATTTTTTGAACTGTCGTTTTTTGACAATAAACAGAGCAAATCAAGCGCATCTGCTTCCTAAAGCAACAATTTGAGTACATAAATTGACATCCCTCAAATTTTCTTGAAATGAAACTTTCACAGCAAGAACACCTCTAAAACTAATTGTGATATACAGGTTAATTTGCACCTTCAAAAAAAAATTCTCTATTTTTTTGGCCAGGTTAATTCCTTTAACCCGGTTAGTTTCATCAAGCAATTGGTCAAAGTTTTGACCCTCTATTATTAATAAGTTAAGAAAAAAAATGAAAACAAAATTGCGAAAAAAAGAATTCGTTCAAATGATATTTGAAATCAGCTGTCTGGGTGTTTGTTGTAGTTCAGTGTATGTATGCACGTTCCCCGGTGATTATTCGCATTGAGATTTTTTTTTTGCAGTTTATCTAGATTTGTTTTTCAGATGCAGCCATAGATAAATATAAGAAAGTGAGATATTAGTTTATGTAATACATTTTCGTATGTTGTTCAATGGTCTTCATAATTGGTTATGAGATAGTTTTTGCGCATCATGATTTTTTTTTCATTTTTCGATCGAAGAAATTTAAATTTCATTCATTTTGAACACATGAATGAGTAATACCTAATGGAGTTTTCATTTTTAGATCCTTATTTGAATAATTTAAAGGACCATAAGAAGATTGAGGGCTTCGCAGACTTTGAAAACGTTACGAGTTTTTTTAAAGTTTTTTGTCTCCAGGCAAATCTTCTCCTGTTTAAGGAAATATCGATAAATTCTTCAATAAATTTCCGCAGAGCCAATCTTATTGCATTTTTGATCCACAAACTAGCTTATGAATTAAGGTGAACTAATAGATTCGAATATTGGTTTCACAACACCATTGGTTTTTGGTAAATTATAGGTCTTACGATACCATTGGTTTTTGGTATTTTTTATTGATTTTTGGTACGTTGTATCACCTATTAACTGTATTGCTTGTTGATGGCTTTTTAAAATAAGTAATGATTAATGTCGAAGCTATTGATTATTTAAAAGGTATTCGAAACTTTTGCTGACTTTTTTTTGTTCAATCAGATAGAGGATTTAAAAAAAAAAAGTTTCGAGATCATAAGTGGTAATTCATTGAACAAAAGTTTTTGAACAAAAGATTTGACCGTCTTCTTATGCCAAGTTTTTTTCAACCGTATTCTGACCGAGTTGATGTTTTTGGACCTCAACTCTTATTTTCATGCGGAGAGGATCTAGGTTGGGTTTTTCTTAAGCGTTTCTAAAAGCCGTTTTAGGCTCTTTTTGTAAATTTTAACTATAAAATAGCTGTTGTTTGGGTGGGTCACTATGCGTTCTCAAAAAAGTATATGTTGGAGCCGCCAAAAGCGGCTTTGAAAAATTAAGGTTCGTTCAGCCGTAAATGGTATCCGTAAAATAGTACCAAAGAGAGGCTTGTTGGGTGGATAGGGGGCGAATTCATAAATCTGAATGAAAAAAAATACATGAAACCGCTAGTGATTTCATGTAATTTTTTTCTAGTTCTCACCTGTGGTTGTCTTCCACGATTCAGCTGAAGCAAATTAGAGGGTCAAACGAGGTAATTTTGTGACGAACTTTACTCAATGTAAAGAGAGAGCGGTCTGAACCAAGCGCGTGTCTTGCACTATTTTTTAAGGTCAGACTCAAACGGATTAAGTTTTGTATTTAAATGACTACAAACCCATAATTCAGCATAGTTAGTTCAGCATGATTCATAAGCTGTTGAGCAGCGTCTTAGGGTCTTATAAGAAAAAACTAATTAATTAGACAGTATTTGTTAGCAACAAGTTGTTATCAACACAAAATAGTGAGTTAGGACCGTTGTGGTTAACTCATAGAGTAATTTCGGATAGGGTACACCGTCTGCTCGTCACGCTATCTTATTTTCGGCCGGATAGATTCGTGCAACTTCTTAGTCTAATACCGATCCTTATCTTACTCTTATACTTTCTAGTCTCAGGGTGTTTAACTAGTCTCTGCTAGGCTCAATGGATCTAGGGTATACTGGTTTGCTGCGGCTGCTGAAGTTCTCTTGGAGAGACAACTAATTTCTAAGTTAAATTCAAATCTCTCTGGTGCTGAAACTACAAGTAATTTCAGCACTTACAAATAAGTGGGTTGTTAGTTAGGTGGATCATGATTGGTTAATATTAAATACTTTACAGTGGTAAAATATCTAATTTATCCAATCATAAAATATAGTTTAGATCAGATTCCACCCATCCGGGTTTTACAGTGTTTTAGAATTATTTTTCTGCAATTCAAAGGATGGATGATGAACGTTGGTTTTTGGCGAACATCGTATTCTTGTCCGGTTCCTCTTGTTAGAGAAGTTCCAGATCGCTGGAGTTAGGGGCATCAATCAATGTCTCTTCTTGTGACAACGACTGTGTTTCCCAACGAAATCAATCTGGTTTGCTATGACGGGTTTGCTATTCAAAATGGTTTGCTATGACGGGTTTTTCTGTATTATGTAGAGAACTTGTTTTGTGTTCAACCTCGTCTGGGAATGGCGTGGAGATTGTGCGTGGAAGGGATGCCTTGTAACTCGGATCTGTACGTATACTTGAATATCGAGGTGGTCATTGGTCTAGTTCAATGAAGTCCTTTTCTGCGAAGTCAAGTCCTACTCTAAATCCTTTGAGTTGTGATTGTGGACGGCATATCGATTGTGGTTAGCCATTCTTGTTCGAGTGTAGTGGGGTCATTTTGTCTTTGGATGTTCGTCTTTGTTGTTGTGTGTTGATCTATATACTGCAAGGCATGATTTACATTTTATAAAATTTTTATTAGTTCGGTTTTTTAATTATGATATAAGTTAGTTGTTTTCACAAAAACATTTTGTTTTAGTTCGGTTATTTTGAAGAGTTACTCACCCTTGAGTACCTCTTATTAAAAATAGAAGTGTGGTAACAAAGCGTGGATGTAGCGCGGTGGGTTAGGCCGGCTATAGAGCATGCTCAAGACGTCCTCTCTGGTGGGTTAGGCCAGGAGTGGGAGTATGATTTCGTGCGGTTTCTTTGAGAGGTCCTGTTATGTGATAACGTTTTATGTTGGGTTTATGTTGGTCTTTCTTATGTTTCTTTGGTTGTGTCCTTTTTTCAAAAATCAAATTGTTTTTGTTATGGGTTTGTCTTTCGACTTTTTTGTGTTTTATTATTTCTTTCTTAGACTTTATAATAGTCTTCAAAAGAATAAATTATCCAGTTTTAAACTGGGTTAATCCGATTTGAGTACCGTTGGTTTTCTTTTCTTAGTCATGCTGTTATTTTATGATTTGTGGTGTTTAGTAAGCTGCGTTGGTTAGTTTGGTTTAGTATATAATTCCTTTCCAACTGGGTTAAAGGAAAGTTTGAAACTTGTTATCGTGTGTTAGAGTTGTTGAGTGTGAAAACTTGAAACTTAAAATCATTATTTAAACAATTCTTTGTGGGTGAGCTGTGCGAGTTTGGATAGAATTCCTGTGCGAGTGAATGAAAATATCAAAAGGTTAGTACTGCATTTGCATTTTATCAATTTATTACATAGAATTTCAAGTTTACTGCTAGTTTTGGGGGAAATTTAAAGTTATAAATTTTCATCATACTTAAATTTACTGCTTTATGGGGGAATAATTTATAGATTAATTTACTACATTTGGTATGAATTTTATCAGATAACTTGTGTAAAATGTTAATCAAGTTTAGAAGAATTCTAACAAGTTTTTTTTTTATTTTTTTTTCTGTTTTTGCAAATGATCGTGGTATGAAGACTAAAAATCTAAAAGAAACATGAGTAAAAAATGGTTAGTTTTAATTTAAATTTATTAGTTAAGAGTATTTTTAAATTATACTTACCTGTTAATCGTCTGGGAAAAAGCCGTGGGGAAAGATGTCGCGTATTATGTCTGAATTTTTTAGTAATTTTGCTAGTCTGCGAATGATGTTTTTAGTTTGGAGCAGTGGCCAAAGCAATTGAAACGCTTTAATGGTTGTTAGTTCTTCGGTGCCTACTGCAAACTCATAAGGTGTGTTTTGAATGAGGTTATAAATTTTGTGATTATATTTAGTATTGTGAATAAATTTTAATATAAGGGTTTCTATAGGTTGGATAAATTCATATGGGATAAGGAAGGGTCTGGATTCCTCGGCATTAAAGGTCTTCGTGATGGGACAAAATATATACATTTGTGTTACTGGGTCATAATTGCGGAGGATGCCGTGGAGGTTAGTATCTTTGATGCAATAAGTGAAATTAAGAAAAAATGGTGAAGTGTATTTCGAGTTAAGAAACTGAAAACGATGGTGTGGTTGTCTTGATGGAGTATGTAGATCAAAATGATTTTGTATGAAGCGATAGTATGTATATGTGTGAGTCTGTTTAGTGCGTAACATAATTTCGTGTGAACAGTGCAAATTGCCTTCATGTGGTGCAAGGAAGTGAAAGGTTAGTGAAAATAATTGAAATTTTTCTTTAAAACTTTCGTAAGCTTGCATATCAGTTTGTGCTTCAGAAATGATGTGATCCTATTTTCTATCAAAAATATTAAGTGTGAATACGTATGACTTTTTGATGAAGAATTTTTCTGTTAGTTGTGGGTTAGCGAAGCGGTCGTCATCTAGAAATTGGTCTTGATTAGTTCGGATGATATTATGGTCGTAATATTCTATTGTAAGTTCGTTAGCTCGGGGTGCAGTGAATGTTTTTAGTGATTTTTTCTATCCTATATAAGTAAGTTGTCTAGATGTTAATTTCTATCCTATATAAGTAAGTTGTCTAGATGTCAAAGTTGTCTAGATGTTAATGTTGCGGTGAGTCTGTATAGCATATATTTATTCTTTTCTATATCGTTATGAGTATTAGATAGTGGCAGGCAAAGGGGATTAGTAAAATGGTAATATGCTGTCCAATGAAGTGTAGGCACTAAAACATGTTCATCTACAAAACTACGCGTGTCGTTAGTGTCGTTAGGTGTGTTTAAATTATATTGTGGGAATGAGGGTAAGGTGATTGCTTTTTCGTGTTGGTGTGGTGTGGATGATTAATATACTCGCAGGCTGTTCCTGGTTTGGTCGGGAATGGATGGTTCGGGAATTTTCTTTTAAAAGTGCGATCAGCTCGGTGAGTGCTATTTGATGATTTGGTGGATGTAGATGATTGTGCTAATGATGCAGTGTAAGCTGAGGAGGGTGTAGGAGTAGGTGGGTTTGAGGATTCTATTGTGGAGGAAATTTGATTTATAGTGAGGATGATAGGGTGTATTAGCTGTTGTTGTAGGGTGATAAAATTATCGAGTTCCTGGGAGATCTGGGGAGTTTCTGGAGAATTAGATGATCGGTTGGAATGAAATGGAGAATAAGCTGGGGTTACTTGTGAAGCATAAGAAGGAGTAGAAACGGTTGGGAGTGGATTATTTAGTGGGATCGGTTGAAAAGGGTTTTTGAAAAAACTGAGGAGTTGGTTTGAAAATTATTGCAAAATTACTGCAAATTCGTCAGGGGTTTCTATATTAGGGTTATTAAGCTGTGAAATGGAGTATAAAACTGAAGTATCTGAATTAGTATCCGAATTCATGCTTGATGTTATATTAATAGTTGGAAAATCGGGTGGCGGGAAAGCAAAAAGTGGGATTATTGGGATTTGAGTTTGGAGGGTGGCTGGGTGGGAGTTTGAGCGATGGAGGGATCCAATTTGTCGGCTCATCATGGGCTAAAAAAAATGATTATTTTGAGACTGAAAAGCGGTGGTATGGGGTTGTTCTATAATTTGTTCATATGTATTATCATCTTGTGAATGATGTGTCATTATATGTTGTATGGGACTTTGCGATATGTTTGGTCTAAAATTTGGGTTATGTGTTATTGCTAGATTTCGGAAGTTTCGTGGGACTAAGGATAATGGATGGTTATGTGGTAGGGGTGGCAACTGTGGTGCTGTAGGTGTTACTTCTGTGTTATTATGTTCTTCGTCGTATGTGTTCTGTCTTGTCGCTATTTTTGTATTATATTCTTTTATTTGTGCTTCTAGAAGAATTTTGTTATTGATGATGAAAAAATTCCAAAAAATCCTGCAAATAGTATGCGTGCTACACTTGCTTGTGTGTGTATAGCGCATGTGTTATAGAATCCTTTTGAAAGTGAAAAAAGAAATCCTATAAAGTTAAACGTTGTGTAGAGGATAGTTAATTTTTCTAAGATGTAATAGGGCCATCCTAGAAAATCGAGAATTTCATTTTTTAGTGTAACAAAGCTAAAAATATTTATAGGTGAAATATCTTGAGGTCTGTATTTTTCACCGTTTAGATAGATATAGTCTTTAATGTCTTTAAAATATCCGCTATAATCTTGTGTATAAATATCTGCAAATCCTGCGGTTTCGGCAAGTTGGCGTAAGTTTTGGTCAATTGATTGTCTTTGTATAGTGTCCATTTGTGTTAATAATTCTTGGAATTGTTGTGTTCTAATGTGGTGTTGGATATCTGTCTTTGAATATATTCCAATTGATTGTAAATCAATATTTGGATTACGAGCAATAGCTCTGATGCTTTCGGGTGAAATTTTTTTGAGTGATTGCAAAATGTGGGGTATGGGGTAAGAAGATAATATTTATCTTCATCAGGGTTCAATTGTACTACATTGTGGCTGTTTTTTGATCCA